TAGTAGAGACGGGGTTTCACCATGTTGACCAGGATGGTCTCGATCTCTTGACCTCGTGATCCACCCGCCTCGGCCTCCCAAAGTGCTGGGATTACAGGCTTGAGCCACCGCGCCCGGCCAACTTTATTATTCTTAATGACAGTTCTCCTAGTCTAAATTTTCTTTCTATAGCTTGTATTATTTTATTTTACTTAGAAATTACCTTTTTAAATAAATCATAGAAAATTTCAAATCAGCCTCTTTTTAAATTAACACAAATTATGGATTCTAAAGTAAAATGTTAAATAATTTATGAACAATAATCATGTTCTATGTACCTACCATTAGTAAACACACTCTTTAAGTCCTATCTGCCCTTCAGCTGCTGAGTAAGGATATTGTGTTTATGTTATTGCAGTGCCACCTCACTTAGCTTCCTTTTCTTTCCAACTTATATTTCAACACAACAGAATAAGGTTGGAAGTATATTTTTGTATTTGTAGAAGAAAGCACAGCTAACCAGCTTATGTAGGATTCAGTCCTAAGACCTTGGTTTTATTAATGGTGATGTTTTCCCCTGACTAAAATAACTATTTATATAAGTTTTCAGGTTTCTAACTTATCTAATAATGTAATGAACTTTGAAGAAAGTACACAAAACATGTTAGGAGAGAACTAGCCATTTAGGGAAACAAGGCATAAATACATTATGTAGTAAAGGTGGCTAGATAGAGTTGAGGTAAAAATAACCAATACAGTCAATAAGCAGTTCTTAGGAGGAAATCAGTGTACTGGTGTACTACTATACCATAATACATGTGGTGTATTGCTCCCCAGGTGTGCTACTCTTCTAGGCTTCCCTATTTTATTAAACAGCATGAACAGTTGTTCACGCAAGAACACAGTCATTCTTGGTGCTCCTTTTTCCCTTACCTACAACACTCAAACTATTAGCAAGTCCAGTCAACTTCACCGCTAGAATATATCCCAAGTCATGGAAAGCATAGAACCAATGGTAAATCTCTATTGTATTTATTCTTAAATTTTCATTTCACATCTATAATCTGATGAAACAGCAACTGACATTGTGTTGCCCTTTCACTTTGACCCCTTTGTTTGATTCCTGACATCATCATTAGAAGTATTCAGAGCAGGATTTAGGTAGAGTCTTATAAAAGATGTTGGATTTTTGCTGAGTTTTGGTAGACAGAAGTTATTTGGGAATAAGGAGAGAAGAGTGATGATTATTTAGAGGGAAATGTTCTGGACAGGATGAATAAGCTTTGAAGTTTTAAATAAGTTTGGACTGTTGCATGGACTTTTATGGACAATGCAAAATTTAGATAATGTGGGACAAGTTAGATTCCTGTGCAGTAGCTTTTTTTTGTGTTATATAATGCATGAAATTAAAATTATAGTGACAATTTGGATCTATAAAGAGCCTTCCTCCTTCATCTCATTGTCCTAAGACATCTATGCAGATGTATTATCATTATTGTAATTTAAATAATTCTTGCGAATGACATTAGTCATTTCAAGGGGTAGTCCAGCCAGTGAGTCTCAAATCTTTTATACATCTTACATGTTTCCACCCAGTTCTAACCTAACACCTGTCCAGTCCAGAATAATTGATTCATTCATAAATTCACCTGTAATGAATTAGTGAGTCATCCATAAATAAAAACTATGGCTGGCCTGGTGGTTCATACCTGTAATCTCAGTACTTTGGGAGGCCAAGGCAGGAGGATTGCTTGAGACCAGAAGTTCAAGACAAACCTGGGCAACATAGTGAGACCCTGTTCCTATCAAAAAATAAAAGCTAGGCATGGTAGTATGTGCCTGTAGTACCAGCTACTCAGGAAGCTGAGGCAGGAGGTTCACTTGAACCCAGAGTTCAAGGTTAAGTGAGCCATGATCATGTCACTGCATTTCAGCTCCTGAAAGACAGAGCAAGACCCTGTCACAAAAAAACCACACAAAACTATAGACAATGAAGAGAACACGTTTGTCATCTACTTAAGCCTAAAATGTCTTAGTGCTGTCTTATTTCATCTGATTGTTTTATCTACATTTACCCAAAATTAAGATTGGCTTAATAAAGCAGATGTTTTAGAATGTGTCCTACAGATCTTGTCCAAAGCAGTTTTTAGTACATTATTTTCTAGCAAATTTAAATGGTGACCAATAAAAACTATTCATTCTTTTTAATCTTCTATGAGTTTATTTATAATAGTGTAGTAACATTTAGAAACTGCCATGTAGCCTCTTTATTTTCTAGTCTTTTATAGTTTTATGCAGCATGTCTGTACCTCTCAACTTCATATCAATTTTATATGATAAAAAAATTGAATACTGTAGCTTGTGAATTATAGATACTGTCCTTGAAACTACCTTCACCACAAACTTTAAATTTTTCAAAATATGCTTTAAATTGCTAAATTCTCTGACCAATTCCTGAAGAATTTTTATAATTCATGCTTAATTAAGCCTTTTAAAAAAATTAACTATAACCACTAACCATATATTTGCTATTCTAAGACTATCAGTGTGTACTCTGTAATCTTTTATGTCATGCTAATTATGTTTTAGTTTCTATTAATATATTTCAACTAAAGATACATATTTTAGGTAGATCAGTTTTCATAGCACATATTTCAAAACTAAGACATGTTATGATTTTTAAGTTGTAGTTAAAATTGTGCTTATTTTAATTTACATTTATATAAATTAAATATAAAGAATATTAATTTATAAAGTAATTTATAAAGAATATTATTTCTAACTAGAATTATTTTTAGTCTGCTTATTTTTAAATCTTTTCTTTTACAGCCTGATGTGTGAAAAAAGAATTTTTGAAACTGTGAATAGTGTAAGGCATCCCTTTTTGGTGAACCTTTTTGCATGTTTTCAAACCAAAGAGCATGTTTGCTTTGTAATGGAATATGCTGCCGGTGGGGACCTAATGATGCACATTCATACTGATGTCTTTTCTGAACCAAGAGCTGTGTGAGTATGCTTTAGACATTTGTCTGAGTTTTTCCATGACTGATTTCATTCTGGGGAAGAAAAGAGATTCTGTGAATTTTAGATTTTTTTTCCTAACAAAATAGTTCTTTGCAAGAAATATTAGAACTCCTTATATACCTTTTTGGCAAATACTTTTTGTATGTATTCTGTTGTCTGTGTTGAAAATGTCATGGATTACCCTAAATCACAATTGATAGTTTAGATAAACATTTTAGGTTCATTTTAGTAAAATTTCTTTTTTTTTTGCTATTAGATTTTCTCACTGGAGAATGCCATCCATGATTACAGCTTTGAAGACAAATTATACTCAAAATTCACTGTTAGTTTTTGAAAAGAAAGTACAGAAGAGTCTGTATCGTATATTTATATAAAATATTTGTGTTTACCTTTCTAAAGGATAATTTAAAAGAGTATCTATCAAATATTTGCTTCCTTGTGCTTAAAATATCTCTGAACAACTATAAAAGAAACTGGTATATGCGTTGCCTCCAAACAGAGAGACAAAAAGCAGACTAAACCCTTTTTGTAGCTTTTGAATTCAAGGTTTGGCTTATTCAAATAGATTAAATAGTAGTAAACACTTGAAATTATATATGCATGTGTGTATATTTTCACCGTTATTATCCCAATTTTATAGCTGTTAAAGGGTGTAGCTAGGATTTGAACCTAAGAAAGTGCTATTAATACCTATACCCCGCATGCTGATGTTTACCAGATTTGTGTCTCCAGCCTTGTCCTCTTACCTAAACTTCCAACTCTAATAATATTCAGTTGTCAGCTAGCTTTTCCGTTTGTGTGGCTAAGTATCTTATTTAACATCTTAAACCGAACTGATTTTTTCCATGTTTCTACCCTCTTCATCCATTACTCCTCCAGGCCTGCTACTCTCCTAGTCTTCCCTATTTTATTAAACAGCAATATCAGGTTCAAGCCAGAACACAGAAAGTCATTCTTGATGTTCTTTTTCCCTTACCTTCAACACTCAGGCTGTTAACAAGTCCAGTCAACTCTACCTGTAGAATATATGCCAAATGATAGGAAGCATAAACCCAGTAGTAATCTCTATTGTATTTACTGTTTAGTTTTCATTCCACGTCTATAATCTGATGAAATAGCAACTGACATTCATGTTGTACTTTCAGTTTGATTCCTCTATTTGATTCTTGTCATAACCATTAGAGGCATTTAGAGCAGATAGGTGTAATACTGTCATAACCTTCAAGTTTCAGTTGAGGAAATAGGGGTTAATTCTAATGGGTACTGAAACATTTTAAAAGGAGGCAAAAGCCAAAAAGTAGTAGAAGGCTACCAATAAATCATTTTCTCAATATTTAAAGCAGAGCATTACAATTATGCCTAGCCTTATGCTGCCATGGGAATTTGTTTGGTTTTATTTTTTAAGCTTGTTTTTGTTTTTAAAATAATATATAAATGTAGTTTGCCTTAAGAAACTGTTATTTTTGCTGAGAATATAAATTATATACAAATAAAACCATAAAATCCAGTGAAAATGGAAGAATACAGTGCTATATTACAGAACTCCAAATCTGAAGTACTTCCCTTTATCATTCAGCTCTCAGATCAAATGTCATTTCTTTAAAGGTAATTTTCTGAGTATCCTAGCTAAAATATCACATCACTAACCAATTCGGTTCACTCTATTTTCTGTTTTATCTTTTAGATCATTTTATTTCTACATGAAATCATGTGATGTAAATTTTTATCGTCTGTCTTATTTCACTAAAGGAGAGGAGCAGGGACCATGTCTGTCCTGTTTATTAGTGAAACACCTAAATGGATACCTGGCACATATTAGGCAATCAGTGAATTTTTATTGATTGAACCCATAGAATCAAAATACCTTGATTTCTAGCTTTGTTATATAGTCTGACTTTAGATGTATTACTTATTTTTTCTGAGCTTCATTTCCTGCTTCTGTAAAATGTTTATCTTAAGGCTTGATTGAAGATTAAATTAGCTAATAAATGAAAATGACTGACACAATACCTGACACACAGGAGCATTCAAAAAAATACGTATTTTAGATAGAATACCCAATTAAGGCAATCTGTTTACAAAGAAAGAAATCGGCCAGGAGCCGCTCATGCCTACAATCCCAGTGCTTTGGGAGGCAGAGGCGGGCGGAACACTGAAGCTCAGGAGTTCTAGAGCAGCCTGGCCAACATGGTGTAACCCCCATTAGCTGGACGAGGTAGTAGGTGCCCGTAATCCCAGCTACTTGGGAAGCTGAAACAGGAGAATCACTTGAACTCCAGGGGCGGAGGTTGCAGTGAGCCAAGATCATGCCACTGCAACTCCAGCCTGGGTGACAGAGTAAGACTCCCAGCTCAAAAAAAAAAAAAAAAAATAGGTATTTTTTAATTGTTACCATAGTGTTTTGCCACTAAAATAAGTTTGCAAGAAAATTATGTTTAACTATCTAAAGCAATTTTTTTTTCTCTTTGAGACAGTCTCGCTCTGTCACCCAGGGTGGAGTGCAGTGACTGGATCTTGACTCACTGCAACCTCTGCCTCCCAGGTTCAAGAGATTGTCCTGCCTCAGCCTCCCAGGTAGCTGGGACTGACTACAGGCACAGGCCACCACACCCGGCTAATTTTTGTATTTTTAGTAGAGACAGGGTTTCACTATGTTGGGCCAGGCTTGTCTCAAATTCCTGACCTCATTTGATCTGCCTGCCTCGGCCTCCCAAAATGCTGGGATTACAGGTATGAGAGCCACTGTGCCTGACCATCTTAAGCAATGTTAAGCTTGTGTTTATTTTAATAAACTTCAGTAGATCCTTAAAACTTCTGGTAAGTTATATAATTTTTAGTGTATAATCAAGTATTTTTAAGTAGTTAACATTTTATTTTTGTTTTTGTTTTTTATTTCTGTGTTGGGGAGCCTAAGCCCTGATGAAACTGCCTGGTGGACCCTGACCATCCCCACCAAGCCCCGCATTTAAAAATTATTGACCCATTTTTATAAAAATAGGTAACTATAAAACATAGCTGTATTATCTACATGTGAATGTAAATATATTCTGAAAGTTTGTAATAATGTTAAACAAAGTGACAAGAATTGTTATCTCTGTGAAAGGCAGTGGAGCTGAGGTGAGATGGAGCTAGGTGGATGAAATAGTGTACTTTGGACAAGGGTATTATGTTTTATAGAGAAAATATTCATGTTATTACTTTTATAATTAAAAGCCAATTCTCTTAAGTACCTCTTTATAGGCTATTCTACACTGAAGAGTTTTTAAATCGATTCATTTTTAAATCTATTCATTTATTTCCTCCTTGTTCAATAAGCCTGTCATGTATATCAGCATTATGCTATGCATTTAGGATAAAAACTGAAAAAGACAAACATGGTCCTGTACCTCAAGAATTATTATTTTCTCCTTGGCCCAAGGTTTCTGAGATCCAAACCCATAAACCCAACTTTCAGATATCATCACCTGCCCCACAGACAAAGTCAACATGCGAAATGCCAAACTTACTTTTGTCACAGAACCTTGGCTACTTCTGTTTCTTTTATCTGTTCATTTTACTGAGATGGAAACCTTGAAAGTTATCTTAGTTATCTTGAAAGTTAGCTCTTCCCACTTCCTTATCCTGTAATGGGATACCACCTTCTGTCATGAATTTTTAAGTTCTTGTGAATCTTACTCTTTGTTGCCACTACAGTGGATGTTCTCAGGATCTTTTCATCCATACTATGATAAAAGCCTTATCTGTCCTTTTTTCCTCTGGATCTCTACCTACTTCTCCAGCCTTCACATTGCTACCAGAAAACTCTAATATAAATGTCATTATTCTCCTCTGATAAAAATAGTTTGATTCTCTGTCACAAGGAGAAAAAATTTCAGTATTCATAAAGGACATTCAAGGTCCTTCACCCAGGCTGTCTTTTTCAGGCTAATCTCCAGCTTCTTCCCCATTTACACCCAACCTTCAGCCACACCAAACTTACTTGTTATCAAACATGTTATGCCTTTGCACCTCTGTTTCTTTTTTCTCCCAGGTAAGTACCCTGTATTTCACCCACAAAACTTCTGCCTGTCACACTGTCCTTTGTCCTTATGGTACATTGTAATTCCTCCTACAAAACCAGATCAAATGTCCCCTCTGAGGTTCTCAGTGACTCCACTAGGCAAAGTTAATGGCTTGCATTGTCAAGACTACTTTTCTAATTTTTAAATTTTACCCCTAATGTCTAGTACAATGTGTAATTCATAGTAGGGACTAAATAAATATTTGTGAAATACATTAATGACAGGTCTGCTTTGAAGTACAAACGTGTAAGCTGGGATTCAAGAGTAGTGAAATTTATTAAACTCCTGTTGATTTAATTCTTCAAACAGATTTTATGCTGCTTGTGTAGTTCTTGGGTTGCAGTATTTACATGAACACAAAATTGTTTATAGGTAAGTAAATTTTTAATTTTTTTCTAATGCCTTGCTTTGGTGTGATTTAGAATTAAAGATAGTGTTTTGTTTTTTCTTAAAAAGGACATTTTATGTTTATCCAGCTTCTTAATTTTCTCCTTCATCTGATAAATCAAACACCAATTTTGAAAGTCAGCACAATGATTATATCATGAACTTTGTTTCCTAATCCATAGCACATTTTTCTAATTAAAATCGTCAAATTATGAGTTGGTCTATGATAGTGTATTTCTCAACAGTATTCATCCTAGTGAATATTTTGCATTCAAACGACCCATTGCAAAAGACTTCTATAGACCAATACTGCTAAAAATGTGTCCATGATAAGTCGCTTGTGAGAGTGTAAAACATTATACTGTTTCCCTCATTAAGAAGCCTTGCTGTCAACTACACTAAATAGTATGTTGGTGGCTGGGCGTGGTGGCTAACGCCTGTAATCCAAGCACTTTGTAGGCCAAGGCGGGCGGATCACCTGAGGCCAGGAGTTCAAGACCAGCCTGACCAACATGGTGACACACTGTCTTTAAAAAAAATAGTATGTTGGTGACGTAGCCGATCTCTGTATTGGCAAAAGCTCCTTATCAAATTGCAGACTAGTAACAAGCAATTTGTGACCCAGCAGCTAGTCTGTGAACCACACTTTACTAGCATTCTGCCCAAGACCAGGCAGATTATGAGAAGGCTAGTCAGAAGTAGAAGACTATAAACATTGGATTATTTAAGGTTCTTTCTTTTTTTTTTTCTTTTTTTTGAGGTGGAGTTTTGCTTTTGTTCGCCCAGGCTGGAGTACAGTGCGTGATCTTGGCTCTCAGCAATCTCCGCCTCCTGGGTTCGAGCAATTCTCCTGCCTCAGCCTCCTGAGTACCTGGAGTTATAGGTGTCTGCCACCACACCCAGCTAATTTTGTATTTTTAGTATAGACGGGTTTTCACCATGTTGGCCAGGCTGGTCTTGAACTCCTGACCTCAGGTGATCTACCCTCCTCAGCCTCCCAAAGTGCTGGGATTATAGGTATGAGCCACCATGCCTAGTTGGTTTATTTAAGCTTCTAATGATGTTTTCATGATAAGGTCCTATTTTACCTAAAGGATAAACTATTTCCTGGGCACAGTGGCTCATGCCTGTAACCCCAGCATTTGGGGAGGCCAAGATGGGAGGATTGCTTCAGCCCAGGAGTTTGAGACTAGCCTGGGTAACATAGTGATATCCTGTTTCTACAAAAAATTTAAAAATCATCTAGGAGTGGTGGCATCTGTCTATACTCTTAGCTACTCAGGCAGCTAAGGTGGGAGAATTGCTTGAGCCTGGGAGGTTGAGGCTGCAGTGAGCCATTACTATACCACTGCACTCCACTTGGACAACAGAGTGAGACCTTGTGTCACAAAAATAAAAAATAAGTTTATAAAAATAGATAAAATATTGTCAATTTGCCTAATTTGTAATCTATTAGTATGGATGGACAGCTTTCTCTTATTCTTTTAGATGATTAAACTTGCCCTCTGATGTTTTATTAATACTGTCAGCCTTACAGTTCTTTCTATGGATGGTATATAAGCAGACTTTAAAATTGGATTAAGTTGGCCAGCCACAGTGGCTCATGCCTGTAGTCCCAGCACTTTTGAGGTCAAGGCAGATGGATCGCTTGAGGTCAAGAGTTCGAGACCAGCCTGCCAACATGGTGAAACCCATCTCTACAACAAATACAGAAAAATTAGCTGGACTTGGTGGTGGGCACCTGTAGTCCCAGCTACTTGGGAGGCTGAGGCATGAGCATTGCTTTAACCAGGAAAGTGAAGGTTGCAGTGAGCCAAGATCACAGCACTGCATTCCAGCCTGAGTGACAGAACAAGACTCTCTTAAAAAAAAATTGAATTAAATTAGATAAACACAAATAACAAATTAAATACATTTTTCCTTTTTTATGTAACAGGAGAAGAATTTCTCATAAGCTATCTGATATAAAAGTAAGTTTACTTACTTCTGGTAAGTAAACTTACCAAAAGGAAGAAAACTGAATGCTTGTGATAATAGTATTTAAATCTCAAATCATAACTTGGAAAACCCATTTTTAGTAAAGAAAAAATACAGTTCCAGTTGAAATTATTTTTTTAACTCTATAACCTACTGATTTCTTTAATTTTTTTTTCCATGCTGTATCTTTTTATCCTGAACAGAGATTTGAAATTGGATAACTTATTGCTAGATACAGAGGGCTTTGTGAAAATTGCTGATTTTGGTCTTTGCAAAGAAGGTAATTGAATGTTTTAAAGTTTGTTTTCTGATAAAATACTGTTCCTTTGTACATCAGTAATTTTCAAGTTTGTCTATGGAAAACAAACTGTTTTTAATTTATTCTTCAGTTGGATATTGTAGATATAATAAAGAAATTGTTCATATAACCTATTTATCATATTAAGAATTTGTTCTGTGACTACAAATAAGGTTAGATGTATAGAAATCATAATAAGCTTCTCTGCACGATTAATAATTCTGTCACTATTTTAAGAAATTATTGATTAAGCACCAAAATAGTTTATTCTGGTGAGACTATACACAGTGAATTTCATAGGCCTGATAATTTACTTCAGCTTCTTAAAACTGGAAACATTTAAAAATAGAAAATAAACAGAGATAGATATGTCAAGTATGTTTTTTGTATATTCAAAAATAAGTTGGGGAAATTTGAATTGGAGGTAACATAAGAAAGGATAAAGATCATGGGCTTAGGCACCAAACAGTCCTAGGTTTGAATTGTGGCTTTGCCGGTATTTGCTGTTTTTTGTTGGAAAACTTAATTTCAACCTCTTTGAGTCTATTTCCTCAACTGTAAAAAACGGACATAGTTCTATTTACTAGTACCAAGATTGTCTCCCTCTACACTGGTGGCTTCTTGTTTCTTATTTAGCTTTGTTTCCGTAGTATATAACACAGTCCATAGTACATCTTAAGTATTCAATAAGCGTTTGATTAATAAGTAGTTGGATGAATAAATAAATGAACTCTGTAGAAATATGTCCATCACATATCCACTGATCTAATTGCTGAGTCAAGTAAGTCTTTTCTCTAACTGGGCTTCTTTTTATTGGACACGGTTGATCTAAATGCTTTTGTTTCTCAGCATCTCTCCTTAGCAGGCTGCTCTTCACTGCCATTTTTTGACTAGCAGCTATATCCTAATGACTCCCAAATCTATTATTTCCTTTCCTATGGATATATATTCAACTATCTACTAGACAGCTCTACCTGAATAGTCAATAGACACCTCAAACACTACCCAAACAAAAATCATTTATTTGCCCCAGGAAGTCTGGTTGCTAGTTGATAATTTACATGAATAGATTGTGTAGTGATGAAATCACGGCTATTGTATACAGATAATATACATTGTATACAGATAATATACATTGTACCCATTAAGTAATTTCTCACCATCCATCCCTTTCCCACCTCCTCACCCATCTGGGTCTTCCTTGTCTTATCATTCCATACTGGTTGATGGTATTATAACCCTCATAATACAGATGAGGAAACCTAGGCTTTGTTGTTAGACAACTTTCCCAAGCTCTCACAGTTAACAAGTGACAGAACTGGAACTTAAACCAGGTATTAGTCTAGAGCCTAATATTAACCACTTACATGGACGCCTACCAGTCTATAAGAAACATAATTTCTATTTCTTTGTAATTAACTTTTTCCTAATTTTGGCCAAGTCACTAAAAGGCTGGTCAGAACTTAAATAGATATTAATACTATATCACTGTTTTTTAAAATAATATTTTATCAAAGAAAATAAAAAACATTATGATAGTGTTAAAAAAATTTTTGCCAAAAAAATTTCTTCACCCCTATATGCTACTGTATCTAATTGTGCCCTTCAAGTCTTGGTTCATAGACATACAAATTCATTTCTGTTTTACAGTCACTATATATGCATACCTAATTGTTCTTAATTTAGAATTGAGGGATTTTCTTTAAAATTCCTAATAAGATGACACTAATGACAAGTTTTTAACGCTTTGGAATACATAGAGACAGCATCTTCAGTATGTAGACTATATTTGATTAACATATTAATAAACATGAGGAACATATACCTAAAATCTAGTTAGCTAAAATATTAATAAAGGCTGAGTATCACTTATCCAAAATGCTTAGAATGAGAAGTATTTTGAATTTCAGATATATTTGGATTTTGAAATATTTGCATATATACATAATGAGATATCTTGGGGCCAAGACCCAAGTCTTCACACGAAATTTAAATATGTTTCATATATGCCTTATACATAGCCTGAAGGTAAATTTATATATTTTTAATAATTTTGTGCACGAAACTAAGCATCTGTTAAATACTTATGAAATTCTCTATTTATGGCATTATGTTGATACCCAAAATGTTTCCAATTTTGGATGTAAAATCTTAGATTTTGGATTTTTGAATTAAGGATGTTCAACCCATACTATTTTGCGCTCATGCACGTGCTCTCTCTCTCTTTCTCTCTCTCTCTCTCTCCCCCCCCACCCTGCCCCCCTCTCACCTCTGTCCCCCACCTCTCTACATACACACACACATATTTTTTATTTTTTTAATTACTTTATTTTTTTTGAGACAGAATTTTGCTCTTGTCACCCAGGCTGGAGTGCAATGGCAGGATCTCAGCTCACTGCAACTCTCCTGCCTCAGCCTCCTGAGGGGCTGGGATTACAGGTGTAATGGTGGGCGCCATCACATTCAGCTAATTTTTGTTCTTTTGTATCTTTTGTTTTATGTAGACACGGCTTTCACCATGTTGGCCAGGCTGGTTTTGAATTCTTGACCTCAGGTGATCCACCCGCCTTGGCCTCCCAAACTGCTGGGATTACAGGTGTGAGCCACTGTTCACGGCCCTATCTCTCTATATTATATGACACATTTGGTCAGCTTCTGATTATCCAAGGGCTTGCTTTTTGGTATTTTTGAAACTTATTTTTTTATAATGTTGTTTTTATAATGAAGTAAATAAGTTTATTTAAGATTCAATTAGAAAGATGATAGAACTTCACAATCAGTTCATTTTGTTGTGATTTCTTAGCTCCCTTGTAATTTCAAGAAAAAATAGTAACTGAAAAGAAACATGGATATTCTGCTTATTTTTACCCATTAATTAGTAGCATTGCTATTGCAGTTTTTGCTATACTAGATTTTACTGTTTTCTTTAAATGTATTTAATATGTCTGAATTTGTTTACCATGCACAAATGTGCAACTTTAATTTTGCCTCCCAAAGATATCTTTGATTATTTTTATGCTAGATTTGTTTCATTTGCTAACAAATGTTTAAATCGTATCTTTTCCAGGAATGGGATATGGAGACAGAACAAGCACATTTTGTGGCACTCCTGAATTTCTTGCCCCAGAAGTATTAACAGAAACTTCTTACACAAGGGCTGTAGATTGGTGGGGCCTTGGTGTGCTTATATATGAAATGCTTGTTGGTGAGGTAAGCAGTGTGAAATAGGTAAGAGAACAGGGGAAGGATGATTGAAATAATAAAGCAATGTGATTTATAAAACCACCTAATACTATCTTCAGTATGAGTGGAATGGAATTTATGTTTTATAAATATTTATAGTATACTAGTAGTCAGCTATCTTTCTTTAATACCTTCAATAAAGTTTTTATGTAGTTTGTGGAATGCATTGCCAGTGCTTTGAAAATAGTTCCTTGCATTTCAGTATTGTGCTTTGGTTATGTTTTCTGATTTTAAGACATAGTCTTTATAGGGAATAGAATAATAGAAGACTGATAAAAAGAGTGTACTCTGTACCTGTAAAGAAAAGCCCACTATAGATTGGTCAGAAATAAATGTTACCTTTGACTTCCTCCAGATGGAAGTGAGTGACACACTGTGCGTCCTTGCCTCACCAGGAAACTATTAAAGTTCCTGAGGAAGCAAAGTAGAATTTCATAAGAACTAAATGAATGGAGAGGAGAAAACCTATGGTGGCTGTGAAGGCCCTGATGATGCCATGGATTTTTGGCATGGCATTTTTCAAATTGATATCATCCAATGGCCATGAATTTATTATAAAAACAGAATGTGCATTAACATCAGGCACGATAAAAGCCATGTTGAGGGGCTCAGGTCAGTTTGCTGAGAATGAAACCAATTAGATCAATTTTAGAGAGATACCTTCACATGTGCTCTCAAAAGTATGCATGTATTTTACATTAACAGCTCTACCGAGATTCCTGAATATCCAATTGCACCTGAAATTGCACTAGAACTGCTTATGGCTACAAACTTCCTAGATTGTTAAATAAAATAAATTATAATTTAGAAAAAGAAAGAAATGTTGCCTTCAAAAACGGTAGAGTTAAAAAGATTAGCATTTTTCTCCTACTGTTTTCTGTAGATTAACTTAAATTTCTGAGGATAATTGAGTTGTACATAGAAATTATTACCATTAGGAAATAGTTACGTTAAATAAAGCAATAATAACAGGCTAATAATGTATTATGTTATAAATTGTTGGGAATGTTGAATTGTGGTGAAATTGGGAAAGAGTAAATCTTTTAATAATTGAAGACTACTTGAAGGGGCATGAACTGGAGATGCAAGAAAATTTACTTTAAGGGATTGGTTCATTATTCTGCAGTTTCCCCATGCCAACAATCTTTGTTACACACTTAAAAGTTTAAAGAAGTTAGAAGCTGAATGAACAAATCATCAAATTGAATATCAGAAATTTCTAAAGTTTTGTTCTGTGTTTCATTTATTGGCACTTACCCCAAACAAATAAATCGTTTTAGTTTATCCAAATGGATAGCCCCTTTTGGTATGTCAAATTGAAGTCGATTCTTTGTAAAAGGAGAAGTATGGCTAATTAAAATAAAATTTATCATGTGCTAAGCACTGTTCTGTGTGCTTTAAATATTCATTTAATTTTGTAACAGCCTTTCGTAAGCTCAATAGTGATCTTATGCCCATTTTCCAAGATGTAAATAGAGACACAAAGAGATTAATAACTTACTTAACATCACACAGCTCTCATGTGGTAGAGCTGGAATTTTAGCCTTGTCACTCTGGCTCCAGAATATATCTCTAAAGCATTGTGCTTTGCTGCTCCAGGATAGGATATTCAATTCATCCAGCCTTGTTTCTGTTCTTAAGACCAGTGGTTCAGATCTGAATTTTCACCTCTATTTAGAAAAGCTGTTGTGCAGTGTTTAGGTTGGAAAGATTTATTTTAGTCCCAGTCCACAGTGGCTTTTACTTTCTGAGAGTGCCAAAATTTCTCATAAAATAATCCTCTGTAAACTCTGGCATACTTGAACTCCTCCCCACCCCTTTCTTTATTTTAAAAGTAACATTATGGGGTTTTTTGTTTTGTTTTGTTTAATATTCAAGTAAGTATGATATTATGAGATTCAATTATGTGCTTGCTTAAAACTTGTTCTCCGTGTTATAGAGGACATGTAAAATATATGAGTTTATTATAAAATACTGTAGCATTAATAGCCAGTTGATTCTACTCCCTCCTATTATAAAGCCACTGGAGGGTTTGGCAGAAAACAAGGAAGCTTCTGTTTCATATTTTTTAAAAGAGCTGGTTGATTGAGCTCTTAATTACCTAGAAGATAAAAGACAATGAATCTGGCTATTTCTTCACAGTTGTTTCTTGCATTTTCTTCTTAGTATCTCCACAAGCAGGTAGCTGGTAAAAGAACTAAACTTAAAACTCATCCCCTGACTTGCTGTTTCAGTCCCCCCAAAAATTAGATTGTTCCATGTACTACATTTGATTTAAGTATTTTGAGTGTACTGCATGTCCCAGGTAGTATATTTGATTTATATATTTTGAGTGAGTAAATGAACAAACTAAGGTTTTGGTAATTGAAATCTTTGAAATTTTTTTAGCTATGTGCAGTCAGATTAGAAGATTAGAAGGCTCAGCCTTAAGAAGTTGGATTCTGAATTTATTTTCACAGATTCCTTAAAGATTGCTCCCATTCCCTGGATATTGCTTTCTGCTTATTATTCTTTAAAACTTAATTGGAAGCAAGCAGCCAAATCAAATCTAATGAGAATAAGTAGGCCTATATTTCTTCAACAGCCAATGAGAAAATAAGGTTCAAGATACTGATTCATTTTAGTGATTTTGAGGAATTAAATGATACTTACACACTTGCTTTCTGATTTTAAAAATAATTGAGTGATTTTTAAGCCATCTGAAATTCTGTGACAGGCAGTCACATTTGATAGACACGTTTTCAGCCAAGGTGAAAGCTTATCTCTTTGTGAATCAAATTGTCATACTGAATATAATGTAACTACTTTTTTGTGACTCAGGGCCATCATGAAAAATTATTTTAATATTCTGCTTACTGAAATGCCCTAAGACTTTTTGTATTTAGCGCATTAAAAAATGCCTGGCAGTGTGTGCTTTTTGGGTTCTTTTCAGTCCAATTTTGTTAGTAGCTGCTGCTTAGTACAGTCATTATGCCTGCTAATTTCTAATTGTGTTTTACCACTGTTAATTTACTACTGACTTTAAAATCCAAAGCACATTCATATATGATGTATTTCCACAGACTGCTTTCCTTTATTACGTAACACTTATTACCATATTAACCTTATCCATTTTCTTCTGTCTTTCCACAAGATTAAGGTTCTTCAGGATTGTATCTATGAACTAAATATTCCCCACTGTCTTTTAGACACTCTAAAAATTGACTATCTGGCCAAATAGGTGATTGACTGAATAAAATAAAATGGAATGGAGTGGAATGAAATGGAATAGAATGAAATTAATTGAAAGGTCATGTCATAATAAGATAAGACAAAATTTTAATGATATGATGGACGTACATGAGATAGACAAACTTTTATAAATTTCTATAAAATTTAAAGATTTCAGAAAGAGTATATGGTATATTCCCTCTGTAATAGATACATATCTATTGTCACTTCCTATAGTTTTTTTGTTGTTGTTCTTGTTTTGGTAGGTATGGATTTTTTTTTTTTTCTTTTTCACTGCCTGGATCTTGGTTGTACTTTGAATAGGCGATAAGATTTTACCGTCTTAAAACTTGCTTTAACTTAACTCAAAGGTATTTCTTCTAGTCTCCCTTTCCTGGTGATGATGAAGAGGAAGTTTTTGACAGTATTGTAAATGATGAAGTAAGGTATCCAAGGTTCTTATCTACAGAAGCCATTTCCATAATGAGAAGGGTAAGAATTAAAATAAGAATTTTTTTTTGACTACTTCAATTTTTTATACTAAAGAAAATTTCCCGGTAGAACTTCAGAAGTTGTTTTTCAGTTCATAAGTGTTGCATGGCTTAGACAAAAACAGACAAAATACATCTGAGTTTTTAAAGTAATAATTCTTATCAGTCAATTTTAGTCTGTTGGTTTTATTTTAACTTTTTAATACATTGTGCTAGTTGTTAAGAAGAAATCCTGAACGGCGCCTTGGGGCTGGTGAGAAAGATGCAGAAGATGTAAAAAAGCACCCATTTTTCCGGGTAAGTGCGACTATTTTAAATTTTTTATGAAACTAATGTGATTAAATGTAGAAAACTAAACTAGTAATTTTCTATTTTATAATCCAGCTAATTGATTGGAGTGCTCTGATGGACAAAAAAGTAAAGCCACCATTTGTACCTACCATAAGAGGACGAGAAGATGTTAGTAATTTTGATGATGAATTTACCTCAGAAGCACCTATTCTCACTCCACCTCGAGAACCAAGGATACTTTCGGATGAGGAACAGGAAATGTTCAGAGATTTTGACTACATTGCTGATTGGTGTTAAGTTACTAGATACTGCAAAACCAAGCAGACTGACTCACAAGAAGACCTCTTAAAAAATAGCAGCCCTTCATTTGCTCTCTGTGCCACCAATAGCTTCTGAGTTTTTTTTTTTTTTAACTGAAACATGAAGATTTGTTTAAAAAGTACCATTCTAATACTTCTTGAAAAGTGGCTTCTCAATGTACTTCAGCATAAATATGAGCACTGGAAACAGTTTCATGGAGTTTAAGTTGAGTAAACATCGGCCATGAAAATCCATCACAAATACTTTTGGATCAATGCTCTATTTTAAAAAAGAAAGAAAAAAAAACCACTCTTTTATAGTCCCTACCTTTGCCATATGCCTGCCTTAAGTGGGAGGAAAATTAGTCACTTAACTGTGTTTTACAAAAAGAAAAAAAGGGCTTGGAATGCTATTACTGTTCACACAAAGTGATTCTGTTTGAATAAGGCAAATGCTCTTTTTTTAATAAAAAAAAAAAAAAAGAAATTACTGTAATATCAAAAAACATAGTTTGTACACAATTTGGGGTTTGATTTTTTTTTTAAAAATTGATGTCTTATTTTATAAATGTTCTATATTTATTAGGAGAAAACTTTATATTGCCTTATTTTATCAACCATGTAACAGAGGCTTATAGCTTTCCAACAGAGCTGCTTGCCAAACAATTTATTTTGTTTATTAAACAGTGCTGAAACAAACAAGATCAGCATTTACTTAAGATGTTAAGAATGAGAACTTCTAATCAGCTGAACCAAGATATTGTTACCTGTATGCATTCCCAAAGTCTAGACACTCAGTATGTTCAGTCATATCTTCTTCCAGAATCAGTGAACTGATTACTCCTTTTTTGATAGTCACTCTAATCTACCAACCTATTTGACCTTGTTTTTGTGTCTGCTGTAGAAGGGAACTATAAGTTGGTTAAACCATAGGGATTATCATTGTATACATGCTGTGAACATGTATATGTGCAAGTCGTAATGTATTCTGTGTTGTAGGCTTGTTATTTAATTTCACCACTTCATCACTTTTGTACAGTGGCCAAGCAGACACCTCAAACTCCAGCATTTACATTAAGTGCATTTGTATATTTTAGGCCACTGGATCCAGATTTTATATTGGCAGTTACTGAGGGCAAAAGCAATATATTGTAACAGAATGTATAAATATTTTTGATAAAACAGTCTATATTTTATAAAAAAAATTATAACACTAAAGCTGTACCTCAAAAGTCTCAAAAATAATTTGATCAAATATTTTATACAACTCTTCAGAGGATCCGTCTGTGGCTTTTTATACTCTTATAGGGTTGTCTTTTTGTAAACCATGACTTTCCACTTGCCTGTACTTTTTTATTTTGGTTTGGTTTGATTTTACATTTTTTTCCTCCTAGTCTATGACTTTATTGTTTTTTCTTAGTTTAGTAATGGCATCTTTGATCCTGTGCTTAGCATGTTAGGGTCATTATACCTCAGGAATAGCAAGCTATTAAGTAACCTTACTGAATTAACTATTTAATCACAGTGAGCTCATCTCTTAAAAATTGTTTAGGTGTAAATCTTATGAGGAACATGAAAAAGCACACTGATTTATGGAGAGTTGAGCTAAAAACATTTATAAATATTTCAGCTTTGCTGGGATGTTTTAGCATCTTTTCATTGTACTCTGAGAACAATTAAAATTGTCCAGAGATCATTTACATTACCTTCCAAATTGTTTATTACTCAAGATCCTTTGGGAGAAAATATTATAGAAAGAGGGAAGAATATGTGGTTTAAAGTTATTTTAAAATGCCAGTTAACTTCCTTGGCACAGGACAATAGAGGAACTTAGCTTAATTGTCTGGCTTTAATTTAAACAGTGTTAATACAACATTAAAACACTAAATACTTTTGAGGTACAGTCTGCTCACCTTTTTTGGTTCTCAAATATGCAAAGAAAGTAATGTCTAAAATAGGCTTTTAGCATTAAAAACTGACATAGCATTTTATAGCTACACAGTGTACAGAATTTTTTTTTAATTGAAGTCAATCACTAAAAAAATTAGAGGGCAGGGTCTATTTACACAATTAAGCTGAAGAAAGCACTAATTTTTTTCTGTAGTTTATATATATTTTAGATTTAAATTTTTAAGCTTTATAGAGTGTAAATATATTTTGCTATTACTGTATGTGTATGACTGCTCAAGCACTTTGTAAAGAAATTAGGATATTTTAGAATGGTACACTATGCATTCAAATGAAATGTGCCTTTCACTATGTCATTCTAGGAAAACAAGTGTTTTGCAGTCATAAGTTATCACAAATGCACAAATTAAAGTCTAAATAGATTGAAATTTGTAACTTTGGTTTTAAGTATTCTTTCTTTTTAGAAATTTCCTAATGACTAAAATATTCTTTAACTTTTCTGTGTTCAAAATCTCAAAGACTAATTAACTTTAGTAAGCCTTCTTGTAAGTACTTTTTGCCCTAGGGAAGGCAAAAACCATGAACATTCAGAGCAAATTGTCTACTTCGCTGGGAATAATGGGAAAAGTTTGTATTCTGCTCCTGTAAGGTCAGTATCATCTTTTATTTGAAGCATATTTATGGACTGCTTACTGTGTATAGATACTGAGGTTAGGAAGATTTTTTTTTAAGCAACAACATGTTGATGAATGGAAAACAGCCTGCTTTAATATTAAGATGAAAGCACCAGTATCGTATGTACTTTTCTCTTGTTTGAGGTTAACTTATTTTAATTTACTACCTGACTTCTTAAAAAGGCAAATGAATGAAACAGAATACTAGTCATTTTATACTAATCTTACTTAGAAATTACAAATGGAATATTTTAGAAATATAAAACGAACCATGTTCCCCTGTAACACAAATTGAGGACATAATGGAAATTGCTATCATATATTGACTTGGTAAATCTGCCATATAGATTCAAATCTAACGAGATTTTTGCAGATACTGCCAGTATTCCCAAAGCAACTGAAGAAGTAAATAGGAAAAATCCAAATAATCAAATACTAATCCACAGATCATAATCTTAATTTAAATTTAGAATTCTTATTTACCTTCTAGCCGTCTTTTGAGGTCTAGAGTTTCTCTGAGATACTGGCTCTATACATTAGTATGATGGGTAGAGACTTAAAAGTTATTAAAAATAATTAATATGTATACACACACATATAAAATTAGTGGAAGACCATCAATAAGATATGTAATTTGAGGTATTGCTGATTTCATTAAAGGTAAGAGTGGTCTCTGGCAACCCTTTACCCTAAAACAAGCAAACAAACTTGAGCAAAGTCTGGACAAGTTAGGGCTTCAGAACCTAAGAGTTAGAGTGGGAGTGCTCAAGCACAAAAGTAGGAATACTGAGAGAACCGGAAGCCGAGTCTACAGAGTATGGCAGAGCAGCAGAAGTTGGAGAAGATAGGCATCACGTGACAAGGAGCTGGTTTTGAAAATGCAGGCATCCAGGAGAAGTGGAGTTACCAAGGATAGATTTCTCTAGCAACATAATTGTGAGGATAAGAAACCTTGCAATAGCATCAGGACTTAACGTTCTGTGCTTAAATCCTCTAGAAGAGTTCAAATTTTAGTTTGCATGTCACTCTTTTCCTGACAGTAAAAGGAAATATTCTCTGGATGGAAGCTTCTCCAGGATGGGACCATCAGATTTCCACAGATTAAGATCAAGTAATACACTGTCAGAAATCCTTAAACATATGAGAGAGACAGCAAGTTACCTCGAATAAGAACTAACAAAAATATTAAATTTAGATATCCCTGTTAGAGATTTCATACCTTAGAATTATCAGCCAGGCACAATGGCTCATGCCTATAATTCCAACATTTTGGGAAGCCAAGGCAGGAGGATTGCTTGAGGTTAGGAGTTTGAGGCTAACCTGGGTAACACAGTGAGACCCCATCTCTACCAAAAAAAAAAAAAAAAAAAAAGCCAAAAATTAGCCAGACATGGTGGCATGCATCTGTAGTCTCAGCTACTTTGGAGGCTGAAGTCAGAAGATTGCTTGAGCCCGGAGGTCAAGGCTACAGTGAGCTGTTACCATACTACTGCATTGTAGTTAGCCTGGGTAACAGAGCAAGACCCCATCTTTAAAAAAAAAAAAAAAAATGATATAGGATAGCTATATATAAAGTATTTATATATCTAAAATTATCAGTATAAATATGTGAAATGAAAATGTTAACAAAATTAAACATTTGTAAAATCCAAAAATGAAAAATTGTTCAAATATG